TGCTCCGATTGGCTGACGTTCAGCTTCTAGGATACCAGAGTATAGTCTTAGGTAAGGCTATAATTTGTACATCAAGCTATGTTTCAGTTCAGTATCTAAGGAGACTGCTTTGGGCCAATTTATCACCCAAGTACAAGGGCTACTTAGGCTAATTTAGCTCCATTTGGCAAAAGGTAGTTGATCTGCATACAGTAGTGAGCAGGTTATGTTGTAACTTGATTTCTTGCTCTTTTAATTGATAACATGAAGCTGAAACACTTAACTTCAGCTCTTCCCATATTATTATTTGACTTACTATGTTGGCATGGGTTATTTTTTAGTCTTCTCAACTAAAATGTGCTCCTCAAGTGCAGAAAATAGGTACTAAATATTTATTTAAGTAAAAAAAAAAAAAAAGCATGAAATTAAAGACCATAGCCCTTCTCCTGGTAGCATTAAAGATATCAATGACAGGGACCAGCAAATGGCATAATGGTTATGTCGCCGGTCTTTCACATGGCCAGCTGCAGTTTGAGTCCCAGACCTAGTGGCTTGAAATTCAAGCCAGGCACATGTGCATGTGCACCCAAAACCCCAAGAAGAGAGTGAAGGAGAAGGGATTGTGGCTATCCCCTCTAGGAAGTGATTTCTCACTTTCCATCTTTTTGTCTCTCTGTCTCTCTGGTGAGCATATGTACCTATAGCAAAAATCACTCTTAAAAAAAAAAAAAGATATATTGATGACAAAGGCAGTGAGGCACATGAACTTGAATAACAACCTCCATGATGATATTTGAAGAGGGAAGCATTGCTTTTTAAGTCCCTTGGGACATCACAGTCCATATGCTTTTAAATCATTGTGGCTACTCTAATCAGGCCCAAAGCTACTCACTCTAAAATATTCTCCATTAAGAATATTTATGAACTCTGTCCTTTCCTCAAGGAGCCAAAGGAAGAGATAGCCATGGAGGACCTCTCCACTACAGTTAAATTGGACCAGAGTGAAAACCAAGTTTCACCACGTCAGGGGAGAAGGTGCATCCCCAAGGCTCTTGGCTACGTCACTGGTGATATGAGAGAATTTTCCAACTGGCTTAAAGGTATGGGTGCTTTCTTCCCTTGGATAGATGGGAGAAGTGATTTTAGGGCAAATAGTTTGGTGGTACTTCCACTTATATCTCTAGTTATATTCCCAAACTAGTTATCTCTTTATTCCCCATTTTTCTACTTTTTTATCTTCTAATCTGCAACCTTCTTCAAATTTATTTTGTGGAGACAGTGGCTAGTTTCTACTCATATTAAAGGAGGACACTCGACTTCATCCTGTAATTCCAATACATAAAATCTAAAATTTTATTACTGTAATTCATTCCTTTGACTTAAGAGTCTGTACTTCTGAGAGGATAAATAAGTACATTACGTGCTTTTTGGAGCTTAGGTTCTAGTAGGGGAAGTGTGGGTTGATCATAAAGAAACAAGATGCTTTTAGGGATCTGGGTGCCACTAAAGAGGCAAAGCATTCAAAGAGAAAAAGCTTAAAGGAATATCAAACATAAGCTTCATCTCCTGAGGATTTAGATGTCTTGCTCAGGGTAGAGTTGGGCAGGAGCATCATCAGCCTTGCTGTTTCCTTAGTTCTGTTCATTTCATCTCTTCCAGACAAACCTGTGGTACTCCAGTTCATCGACTGGATTCTGCGGGGCATATCTCAAGTGGTGTTTGTCAGCAACCCCATCAGTGGAATCCTAATTCTGGTGGTACTTCTGATCCAGAACCCGTGGTTGGCTCTCAATGGCTGTGTGGGAACAGTGGTATCTACTCTGACAGCCCTGTTACTTAGCCAGGACAGGTAGGCATGTCCATCCAAGCCTACTATTCTCACTCGGAGACCTGAGAGTGCACCAGTGACTGCAGGCAGCAATAATAAAGCCACACCCTTCCCAGGAGAAACCACCTTTTTGTCCACATCACTCTTTATATTTGCCTTTAGTCAGAGATCAGTAAACCACTCATAAATTATTATTCTTTGTGTCTGAGTAAGGGGTCAGACTGAATAACACCAGATTCTCATGGCAGTACCTGATAACCAGAACCAAGCTCCAAGTTATTCCTAGGAGAGATTTTAAAGGAATCTTCTTTCAAGATTAATAAAATGATTAGTCATCAGCATTTTGTTTGGGCAAAAATGCATATATGAGTTCATGAAAGCTTTAGTGGTTTACTAACCCCCATTATATCTGATTTCCATTGTTAGCTTAACAAACTTATTTTTTCATAGATAGTGCAAAGGTCAGCTCAACTTCTGGAGAGAATAATCATAAATTCCAAGTTAGCAAGCCTGACTTAGGAGCATTTGTGAGACTTCTGATATCTTCATTAAATTGAAATCAGCGTGTACTTCAGGACAAGCAGATGGCATAATGTTATATCGCTGGAATCGCACATAGTCAACTATATTCGAGACCCAGACCCAGCAGCTTAAAACATACTGGATATGTTGTGTGCCCAAAATCCCCAAAGGAGAATGGAGGAGAAGGGATTGTGGTGTGGCCATTCCCTGGGGTGGGGGTGGGGGTGATTTTTCACTTTCTGTCTCTGTCTCTGTCTCTCCAGCAAGTGCATGCATCCTATAGCAAAAATCTCTCAAAAACAAACAAACAAAAAACAAACAAACAAAACAAACAAACAAACAAAAAACCAGCATGTACTTTATAAATTGATCTGCCATAAATTGATCTGCCATGGAAGAAGTGATGAGCTCTCACCAGGACAGCAGATGGCTCCTGACTAACACGTTCCTTCAGAGAGGGTGCCAGTTTTCCAGGTGTCCAGGATCTCTGCATAATGCCCAATGGATGGTTATTACACAACTAAGCTCTTGTAACACATTCTATAAATTGCCTAAGGGGGTTCTCAGGGAGAATCAGCAGGTACTCCACTTTCTCATCAATTTCAAGGATGCTGATTTTCTCCCTTGAAAGGGTGATTTTATATGGTAGGTTAAACTGTCTTCTAATCTGGGACCAGCAGTTAGCATAATGGCTATGTTGCTGGACTCCCATGTAGTCAACCACGGTTCAAGTCCTGGACCCGGTGACTTAAACTCACACCAGACACGTGCATGTGCGTACCCAAGATCCTGAGAGGAGAATGAAGGAGAAGGAACTGCAGCGTGGCTATCCCTCCTGGGGGATGATTTCTCGCTGTCTTTCTGTCTCTCTCTGTCTTTCTGGCAAGCACACACGCCCTATAGCAAAAACCTCAAATAAATAAATAAATAAATAAATAAATAACTGTATTCTAATCCATGCCAAGAATCAGTCTCTCCAGTTTGGGAATGTTGTTTAATTGTGCCATATTAAATATTCCTTCATTATTCCTTCACTTTTGCTACAATAAAATGTGACTGACACCATTTTACTTGTCAGATATTACTTAGAAAATAGGTCATATTTCCATGTGTTAGTTTTCAAATCTCTTTACTTTCTTTGGTCCTAGAAGACCACATAAACATGGCAATCTTGTTGTAAGTGAATACATGACTTTCTGTTGCACTCCACAATTTGTAGCTGTTGCCGTGAGTTTTCTATTGATCAAACTAAAGCATTAAATCTCCAAGTCAGTTGTTGAGAGGACATGTCTTTACATACTTCTCCACTGTCATCACATGTAATCTCGATATCTAGTTTATACCAATACAAAGGGTATCACCTCCCCATGCCCTGAAGGATTATCTAAGGGAGAAAAGGACTTTTGAACAGATCCTACCCTAATGTTCTCATTCAGATGAATATACAAGGTGTCATCTTACCTGTTGCACTGGTACACCCTGGCCCAGTTAGAAGCAAGCCATGAAGAAGCTCTCCTGCCATCCCACATTAGCCCCTGCAGTGTGACACACCTCCCCCTTAGGCCCTGCATTTGATCTCACTCACTTCCTTTATCATTTCCACTCCTCTGATTCCTTGAGTGTCAGGCTTTTGGGTAATAGACCATGTCCTCCATATGTCAGATATTGCCAATTCTCAGAGCCTGGCTTGTTAGCCTTGAGGCTTATGCTACAGAAATAGTTTCACTTCTCAGTCAGGGCTTCTAGTTCCCAATGACGAAATGAGGACCATTTGGAACAGAGCAGAAACTTACCCTAAGACCACATTTAGATGTAAGGTTAAATACTAAGCGAAATGAGACCCGAAAGAGTTAAGTGCTAACTATGCCCATAATCAAATGGAGATATTTTGCCAAGTAAAAGAAAAGTAATTGTTTTTCTTTGCAATACCTAGAAAATGTGTATTTGGAGACAACAAAATAAATGCACAAGACCATGAATTTACATCAAGAATCACATATCTCACCAAGGAATCAGACTTAGGGAAGTTTCATCTGCTGAAATCCCTTTTGAAGTCAGCAGTCTTTAATGATTTATAAGAAATTAATAAGTTTCCTAAGGAAAGGCTGAGGGAGGCAGCACAGATTGCCCTACAGTTTTTCCTATAGGAAAAACTCTAGTTTCCCCCAGGCACTAGAGTTCTATGTTTAGCTGAGGCCCTTTTATGAAAGTGGTGGTTCTACATGGCTATTTGCAATTTTATCAATGTACGCTTTACATCTCTCTTTTTACTAGTATTTGTATGATGCTTATGTAGTCTTTGAGACATATTTCCAAATACGATCTCTTTCTAATGTGAACATGGTCTGGAAGATCCAAGTGCTATTTATGCACAAGTCCAATCGAAGTCCACCTGGGCAATGTCACCACCGTGCCTCTTACCCGCAGGTCAGCAATCGCAGCGGGACTCCAGGGCTACAATGGCACGCTGCTGGGAATACTCATGGCCCTCTTTTCAAGCATGGGGGGCTATTACTGGTGGCTGTTGCTCCCTGTATCTGCCATGTCCATGACTTGGTAAGTCGTACCTGATTTTCAATGTATCTTTTAAAAAAATTACCGAGGGAGGAGGTAATGGAGAGTTATTGTTTAATGATTAGAGAGTTTCAGTTTTGTAAGGTGCGAAATGTTCTGTGAATGGATAGGGGTGTTGGTTGGGCAGCAGTGTGAATGTACTTACTTCACTGAACTGCATACTTAGAACAGTTAAAGCTCCCTTGCAAATATTTTTTTTAACTGAATTCAATTTCTAAAAAAAAAAAAAAAAAAAAAAAAAAAAAAACCTGAATCCATTAAGCTAGTTTCTATATTGACATTGTCTTAAATCCTTTTTCTAGAAGCAAACATTCCCTTCATTCTACATCACATTTAGAATATAAAGTACTAACATGCACACAAATGAGAAGCACAGCCTACGATGAACAGTGCAGAAGGTCACCCGCCCTAACTGCACCCACGGGTGGAGGAAGACTGCAGAGCCAACCTCTCCAGGAGGTAACTTGGGATTTGCTCTGAAGAACAGGCTCCAGGGCAGGAGGCATCACCTGTGGGTGCTCACACACTGCCTCCCACAATCCAAGAAACCTAAACTATTTTGTCTTAAACTGATGGCTCCTTGATTGAGTCAACAAGTGAGAATCACCCAAGGGGCTCAGGGACCACCCCAAGTTGACAGACAAGGCTTATCAAGGACATAAACTCTGCCTCCTGTCTGTCAGATATTTTCCCTCCAACCCACACCACCTTTATCCTTTCTTAGACAGTTAGTGGTTTTTTTCCAAGAAGAAATGTGGAAATAATATATGCCAAAGTCAGGACGGTGCTCAGGCGGGTTGGTAAGGGGATTCATGGAGGCACAGTGGTTCTCAACGTGGGGTTCCTGGACCAGCGGAATCAGCATCACCTGGGAAGTCTGGTGTGAAGGAAGGGATATGTGATCCAGTAGTGTTACACAGGGGACTTATACTATACGGATATTTTATTTGTATACCTTAAGTACTTCAAAAATATTTTAAAACCTTGATATATAACTTACTCTGAGCAACCCTAAAGTATAATTTTTCCAAAGCCAAATAATCCAAGAGTTGATTTTTGACTTTAGAGAATGATTATCTCTATGATAGGATTCATTTCAGGTTTTCTTTCCGTGGGAAGGTAACCGACACAACACTGTAGGGACATATGAGCAGATGAAACAAAACTCCTCCATAGTACAAAGATTCAGTTTGTCAGCCTGCTTCATCTCACACATATTCTCCTGTTCCTTTTTAGCCCGATTTTCTCAAGCGCGTTGAACTCTGTGTTCTGCAAATGGGACCTTCCTGTCTTTACCCTCCCTTTCAACATGGCGTTGTCAATGTACCTTGCAGCCACTGGCCATTACAATTCGTTCTTTCCAGGCAAATTGTTTGCTCCTGTAACCTCAGTATCCAATGTCACCTGGTCTGAACTTAGTGCCCTAAAGGTAAGATACACTGTCCTCCCACAATGCCCCCTGCCTGTGGCAGACACCAGTACCCTTGTGATTGCTTGTTCATGGGTATCAAAGTCTTAGGGACACTCAGCTCTAGGGTAGCCTTTGTGCCTGCATCTTGCCATCTAAAGGATTTGTTCTGCTCCAAAGTTTTGGAATCTGAGTGATATTTTTATTCTTATTTATTTTTTAGAGAGATTTTTACTATAGGGCACATGTGCTCACCTAAGAGACAGAAAAAGGCAGAAAGTAAGAAATCACCCCCCAGGGCGAATGGCCACACTGCAATCCCTTCTCCTCTATTCTTCTGCCTGGGTTTTGGGAATACACACACATGTGCCCAGCATGAATTTTAAGTCACCAGGTCCAGAACTTGAACCACAGTCGACTATGTGAGAGTCCAGCGACGTAACCACTGTGCCATCTGATAGTCCCCCTAAGTGATTCTTTAAAGTAACTATTTGGTCAAAGCTAATTCCCACCCCTCCCCATTTTCCTAAAAATCTAAAATCCTCTGGTGTTAGCACCACAGCTGCAATGGAAGTTAGACACTCTTTTGTGAGTTTGACCCTTGTTAGGTGGACATGATAGGACCAGCCCTTAAAGCAGGTGGCCTCTGGTCTGGGGTGAAATCTTTCACAATCTGCTTTCTCCAATTGAAGAACTGGATTCTTATTCCCAGAGTTCATTGCAGAGCCACTCTATTCTGCTTTACTTATGACATAGCTCATAGAATAAGTAAAGTAAGTCAGGATTCTCAAACTTTGGTAGACATCAGAAACACCGGAGTGCACTTCTAAGTACCCAAACAGACTCCATCTTAGACTCTTTAAATCACAATCTCTGGGGATGGAGTCTGAGAACTTGTATTAACAAATTCCACAAGTTGTGATGTAGGCTGGAGTTTGAGAAGCCCTGTATCATAGGATGTGTGCTGTGTCTCTTTACAGATGGATATCTGTAAAACCTAGTTAACCCAAATCAAATTCCAGCTTTTCCCACTAGTGTTCATTTAATAATTCTGTTTAAGTTTCCTTGATTACTAAGAACAGGAGACACTTGAAGTCAGAAAATAACCAAAGAAACCTTACTATTTTTAATATGCAGAAGACTGACTCTCACCCTATCAGGTCTTAAAATAACCTTTGCTCTCCTCTTTGTTGAGTGATCAAAACATGGAAGGAACTAGAATGCTTTTCTTTAACTTCATTCCCAGAAAGTCAATGAGAGCATTGGGAAATAACTCAAAAATAAAAATCAAAGATTCATTAGAACTCCCCATGAAAAATAACATTATAGAATAGTGTTAATCTATCTAGAACTGCACTGTCTCATACAGGAGCCATTGGCTCCTTGTAGCTATTTAAATTTAGATGTAAGTTCATTAAAAATTCAGCTCCTCAGCCTCCCTCGCCACATTTCAGGTGCTCACACCTGACTAATACCTACTGTATTTTACACAAAGGTGTGGACTATTCTACCATCGCAGAAAGTTCTGTTGGATAGTGCTGATCCTGGGAAGAGCACTGTGGACCACACCACCCCATCATAAGCACACCTATTTGCCCTCTTACCCAATCCCTGGCTCCCTGAGGGATATCTTGCTGTCCACTTCTGAGTTGAAAGTTTCTGCCAACTTTGTGCCAGGTTTCCTGGTCTAGAGGAAATAGGAAATGATCTTCTGTAGAGCCCATCCTAGGGTATAGTCAAACTCACAGTATGGTTTCACATGCTGAGCAAGAACCAAGCCAGCATGCAGAAGCCAACATTAGGCCCAGCCTCATATGAGAGGAGAAAGGACACGTCCCCTCATGCCAAGCTGGGGTTCTCCCTCTGCCAGAGTTACTGCCAAGAGATACACTTATGACCTAGGAAGGACAAAGAGGGTGAGAGGGAGAGGTCAGGAAGGCGCTTTCGGTAAATAGACTCACCCAAAAGGAAAATGTCTGGGTAATGATGCCTATCCTGGCCCTACAAGACCTTTTGTTATCAAGAATGATCACTTGTTAGCGTGAGTCAAACTGTGCTTTCCTGAGAACTTCCATTCTGTGAAGAACTTCCATTAGTTAGATTCAGGCCTCAGTTAGGAAGTACAATTGTAACATTTACATGTGCATTTATGTTTTGAGGCTGGATAAATGGTTAATAACTGAAATAATCTAAAGATATCTTGATTTAAATTAATACTAGGTTGTCAGAAAAGTCATAAGCATTTGTCTCTGTTTGTCTGTGCAAAGATGCATCATGACTTTCCAGAAGTCCAACCAGTACCTTCCACTTAAGAACAGAAGGGTAAATATAGTCCTGATTCATGAACTTGCCAGTTGTTTCTAAGTTGTGGATAGGACCAGCTTCAGGTCTCCTTGCTGAGCAAGAGCCACCAAATGATCAGTAGTAGTATCTCTGTTGAATGCAGGGGTATGCTGATGGGTTGCCCTCAGTGCTGATGCGCAGTAGAAAACAAAAGCTATGGTCCTGTCATCCTCAGCAGGAGGTCACAGCCAATGGCAGTGATGCCACACTGAGAACTGACCAGTGACTAAGGTCAAGTGTCAGTGCAAACGGGAGAGCCAGTGAATGGGGAGGGTGGGAGGGCATTTTGAGAAGGCACACTCAGCATGCACCAGGGAAGAGCTGGAAAACCTCTGAGGATAAAACTGAAGGATGACAAGAATTTTTCTGTAATTAAAGAGAGAAAGGGAATTTTAAAAAATAATAATAATAAGCTATTTGGTTGATGATAATGTAAAAAAAAAAAAAGTAATAACACTGATCCTCATAAGATACGTTGGGGCCAGCAAGTGGCATGGTGGTTAAGATGTTGGACTCCCACGTGACTGACTGTGGTTTGAGTCCCAGATCCAGTGGCTTGAAAATCATGCCAGGCATGTATGCGTGTGTGCCCAAAATCCTGAGAGGAGAATGGAGGAGAAGGGATTGTGGTGTGGCCATCCCCTTAAGGAGTGATTTCTCACTTTGCCTCTCTCTGTCTCTCTCTGTCTCCCCGGTGAGTGCACATGCCCTATGGCAAAAACCTTTTAAAAAAAAAAAAGAAAAAGGAAAGAAAGATAAGGTATGTTAAATCTAAAATTATATTGTATGAATTTGTGGGTGTCTGGGTTTCTATTTAGCTGTTTCAATGGCCTAACTTTTTAAATTGCTTTTACAGTTATTGAAAGCCCTGCCAGTGGGGGTTAGTCAGATCTATGGCTATGATGATCCATGGACAGGGGGCATTATCCTATGTGCCATCCTCCTTTGTTCTCCACTCATGTGCCTGCATGCTGCAATTGGATCATTGCTGGGGGTAGTAGCAGGTAAACGCAAGTTGCCAAATAGTGAGCACCTCTTCTATACCTCATCTCACTCTTTATTCTCCAGACGTTCTTGAGGTCTCTGCTTCCAAGAGATCAGGGGATATCTTGGGATTCCCCTCACCCCACAGCTTTACCCTGAGATTACTTCCTGAACATCCTGTCCATAATCCAAAGCTCTTCCCCTTCCTGTCTTTCCTAACAGGACTCAGTCTTGCGGCTCCATTTGAGAACATCTACGTTGGACTCTGGGGTTTCAACAGCTCTCTGGCTTGTGCTGCAATGGGAGGGATGTTCATGGCACTGACCTGGCAAACCCACCTCCTAGCCCTTGCCTGCGGTAAGTATCACACACATCTGGGGAGAGGGTTGCTTATGACTGTGGAATCAAAATGAAAGGCAAACAGTAAAAAAGGACTATGTGAGAAAGTAGGGCTGAGGTTCTAGTTTGGACTTCCCTGTTCTGTAAGTGTGTAACCAGGGCAAGTGATGTCCCTTCTTTGGGAGTATTGGAGTTTGCCTCTGCCTACCTCACTCTTTATTGGGAAGATAAGAGCCTGTGGAGCCATATTAACCATTCTATATTATGTCTGTTTCAGGGCTTAGACACTTCACTTGCCCTATGTTCTTCATACTTACTTTTTGACCCAAATAACTAAAAGGAAATAATTCAATCTAAATACAGAGCCATGTTCCCTAGTGAATCAGGAGGTGTTAGATGGGGCCCATTGAGAATTCAGTCATTCTCAAGGTTGAGTGCATCAGAATCACTTGGAGTACTTCTTAAAAGCCATATTGCCGGCCCGTCCTCGGTCTCTGATTCAGTGTTAGAGGTTGGGGTGGGGGCAGGGCTCTGCATTTTTCAGAAATGTTGCTCTGGGGACCATACTTTGAGAACTGTTGTCTTTGTCCTTCCTGACCTCCAGTGTTCTAGCCAAGTGTAGTCTCTCAGAACTAGGTGTTCTGAAGACCTCCGCTCTATGTTTCTTATTTTACTATTTGAATACTAAGGCCACAAAAGTTAAGGGATGTGTTGAAAGCCATCCAGTCAGGAGCAAATTCAAACCTAGAATGCATATTTACCAAGAACTTCAGGAATTACTCTCACTATACTACCCTGATTCCCTTTTGTAACATTCAAGCCCTTATGGCAACCCTTTAGGCTAAAACAGACTTCAAGTGATTTAGATCTGAAAAGCTAATGGATTTCCCAAGCTGATAATTGAGGGAGACTTATTCACCCATAGCCTCTGGGTCTCTAATTCAATACAAGTAAAAAGCACTTTAGATAAGGCATTAGAGTGGAGGGAATGACATTCCATTGGGGACAAAAGTATATAGAGAGTAGAATGTAGATAAACTATTTCTAATCTATGGGGACATAGTTGTCTAGAGACAGTTTATCATGAGATTAATCGATCCAAGAAATCTAAGTAGTTATTACATTGGCAGACCACGCGTCAGGCAGGATTGAGAATAGATTGCTGCATTGGCAGGAGGTGGGATGGCACCAAAGGCTCCTAAGGACTCATTCAATGTCAATTCAATTCTGTAGCGAGATTAAACAAATTCAGATTGCTGTGGGGTTGCCATTAAGATGTCATTTTGTTAGTTTATTTACAGTTAGTCAGTTATTTCCCTTAATAGTTCTGTCAGAACTTTCTCCATATTTGTTCACAAGTTTAGGACAAAGGAGGAGAAAGCTACAGATTCCATGTCCTTCTGAGTTCAGTTGAGTTAAAACCTTTTATCCTACAACCTTCCGGCTTTATTCTGAGATTGGTTTGGGACTTCAAATCTTATTTGAGGTTCATAGGTTTATTTTTCTGTGTATGCAGTACCAATGAATATGTATTAAATACTCATGATATAACTCAGTACTAGGCAAAGCAAGAGGTTAAGAAGCTTTAGTTCCCATGTGGTTCCTGAGCACAGAGTGTGACAGTGGAGGACAGAAGCCAGGTAAAGATGGCATCCAAGGGAGGTCATGTAATCTTTGTAGCAGAACAAGGAGAAATCTACAATACAAGATTTTCTAGGGGGCATTACAGTCCAGCATTATCAGGAAGTACCTCCTGGAGATGGTGGCTTTTCCATAAATTCTTAAAATGAGAGGAGGAATTCTGTTTGGTGCAAAGAGTGATACAGATCAGCATGGGGACAGTCTGAGTCCGTCCTTCGTGATCAAGCAGAAAGTGTGTCTGTCACAGAAGATGTTAATGGGATTTTTGCTTCTTGGTGGCTCTTCAGGTTCTTGGTGTTTCAGACAGAGAATTGAAAGAAGCATGCCAAGAGTGAAAGGGTAGTTTAATAAATAAAAGTGAAAATACAATCCTGAGAGGTATGAGTGAGTCTGAGTGCAAGAGAAAGAATGACTCAAAGGCCTCGGTAATTGTTTTCCATCAGGGTTTATAATTCCTTAATCCAAGTTATGTCAGTCAGTCATTGGCTGGACCCACTAATCTCTTTCATCCCCTTGGCTATATGTCAAATATGGTTGGGCCCACTGGTGTATCTTATTAGCTATATCAAATGTGGCTAGACCTACTGGTTCATCTCATTAGCTATATCAAATGTGACTGGGCCCACTGATTTCTCTCACTGGCTCTCAGCTAGTCATCCCCCACTGAAAATCTCCCACCTACATTATCTGGAACAGGAAATTTTCTGTCCTGATCAGTTTTTCTGTCTAGCCACATAAGCGGATACTCCAGCACCCTTACCTGCCTCCATCTTCTAGCTTGCTTTCTTCCTCAGACTACAAAAAAGGATGAAATTAAAAGATGTTTGCTGATGTGTTTTCCCAACGTGAGACTATCATCATCATTTTATTTATTATAGCGATATTACTGGCTTGTTGTACAAAACAAACATTCAATCAATATAAAAAAGGTATAAAGCACAAACTTCATCCTACTCCCTCGCTGTAACATTTTGTTTTTTGTTTTTGTTTTGTTTTGTTTTGTTTTGTCTTTGCATAAAAAGAATCATTGTGCTTACATTGACTCCACTCATATAATCCAGGATAATCTTCCTATCTCAAGGTCTTTGACTTACTCACAGCAGCAAAGCTTCTATTGCCATGTGAACTAACATATTCACAGGTTCTGGAGCTTAAGACATGGATCTCTTTGGGAAGCCGTTATTCTGCCTCCACACTTACCTTCCTTCTGATGCATCAGATTATGTCATTACTATTGGGTCACTGGAAAAGTCATGATACATTTTTGCATAAAAAAACAGGTCATGACTTTTCCAATAACCCAATAGTATCGCACAATGGTTAAACCTTTATATTGTACTAGTTAAGACCCTGGGGCTGACTGGATTGAAATGCTTGCTCTGTCCCAAATTTAAGCAAATTACTTAAACTTTCTGTGCTTCAGTTTCTCTATCTTAAAAAATGCAGTTAGCATAATGGGTATGTCGCTGAACTCCCACGTATTCAACCGCGGTTGGCGTCCCGGACCCGGTGGCTTAAAACTCACTCCAGGTGCATGTGCGTGCATGCCCAAGATCCCGAGAGGAGAATGGAGGAGAAGGGATTGTGGCATGGCCATCCCCCCGGGGGGTGATTTCTCGCTTTCTGTCTCTCTGTCTCTGTCTGTCTGTCTGGAGAGCACACACGCCCTGTAGCTAAAACCTCTCCAAAAAAAAAAAAAAAAGGGAGGGGTTATAATATCTACCTCAGAATTACTCTGAGAATTAAATTAGTCAATATGTATGTAAAGCACATAAAACAAAAATAGTGTCTAGCACTGGTAAGTACTGTCAAAGGATCTGGGGAAAAAATTCTGGCAGGTTTGCAAAGTTATTAAGAAACAAGTTTTATTTTCCCCCTTCAATTTCTTTTATCTTTTTCTTTTTTAAAAAATTCTATAATCTGCTATAGCATGTGTGCTTACTTGAGAGAGACAGAGAGAAAGAGATGAAAAATGAGAAAGCACCCCCCAGAGGGTATGGTCACATCATAATCCCTTCCTTTCCACTCTTCTCTCTGGAGTCTGGGCACACACACACACACTTGCCTGGTGTATTTTCCTAGCCGCCACGTCTGGACTCAAACCATGCATTCAGCCATGTGCGGTCCAGCTGCTTTAACAACCAGGTCTCCAGCTGGCCCCTATAAATTTCTTAAATTTATCGATATCTGTATCATTTCCCCAAATATGACTGTTACCTTAACTTGCCTTTACTTCCTCTGAGAACTACTAAAACCATGTTGACACTGTGTAGAATTTTCATTTTGGATTTGTCAGTATATATTTTTTTATTTTTTGATTCTTGCTCACTTAAGCAATAATAAACCTTAAGTTGCTTATCCACCCTTACTCCCCATAGTTCAAGTATCCTTCTGTATTTGAGTCTTTTGCTGAATTACTTCTTCAAAGCTGTTTACAAAGAGCGTTTTGTAAGGCAAACTTTCTAAGACCCTGTATGCCTGAGAATACCTTCATTTTACCTTTAATTTTAGTTCAGCACTGCAAAATTTTAGATTTAACCTTTAATTTTCCTCAATACTTTGAAAATTGTTGTCTTCTCTATTGTCTCGTCATAACCAAAACTCCTATTAAGATGTCTGAAGGGATCAGCAGATGGCATAACGGTTAAGTTTTTGGACTCCCATATGGTTGACCCCGGTTCAAGTCCCAGACCCAGCAGCTTGAAACTCACGCCAAGCACATGTGCATGTGTGCCCAAAATCCTGAAAGGAGAATGGAGGAAATGGGATTGTGGCATGGCTGGGGGTTTCTTGCTTTCTGTCTGTCTATCTGTCTCTCTCTCTCTAGCGAGTGCATGTGCCCTGAAAAAAATCTCAAAAAATCACCAAAAAAGTCTGAAAAGATCCTGTTCTTATTAGAAGTGATTTTATTTTTCTCTCGAAACTTTTAGAACTTTCTCTTTGTATGCAAGATATGGTTTTTTTTCCACTGTTGTCTGTCTAGATGTGGTTTTTTTTCCTTTCTTTTTCTATGCTACTTGGCACTCAAGTCCTCTCAATGTGAGCTTTCATATCTTCCTTTAATTTGGATTTTACCAGTTTTTAATTTATCATTTTTTTTTTTTGGAGAGGTTTTTGCTACAGGGCACGGTGCGCCCGCCAGAAAGACAGAGAGAGACAGAGAGAGACAGGGAGACAGAAAGGGAGAAAACGCCCCCCCCCCGGGGGATGGCCACGCCACAATCCCTTCTCCTCCATTCTCCTCTCGGGATCGTGGGCACACACGCACACGCGCCCAGCTTGAGTTTTAAGCCACCAGGTCCAGGACGCAAACCGCGGTCGGCTACATGGGAGTCCAGCGACATAGCCATTACGCTAACTGCTGGTCCCTCAAGTTTTTTGTTCCAATTATGTTTTCTCTCTCCTGAGATTTCTAGGATTTGAATGCAATATTTCATTTTTTTCTTAATATTTCAGCCTTTTTATCCCTTCACAAGGCTCTCTCTGGTTTAATTGTTCAATACCAGATCGTTCTTTGACCCTATCCAATATGATGACCACATCATCTATCACGTTCTTCATTTCTGGTTTATTATTTAAATTTACCGACTGTAGGTTTATTCACTTTGTTGTCTTTCACTTATGGTGCTTACTTTCCTCAGATGTCCCCTTTCCTTGTCCTGGAAATTTTTTTCCCTAGCGATATCAGCTGTATGGGTAATGGGCTGGTATCTCTCCTGGTGCATCTGAAGAGTCAGGAGAAGGGGACACAACTGTGTGGAGGCTCTGCTCAGGCAGAGGAGAGAGCCACTGTATAGACCCTGCTTATGACAAGCACCCTCTTGCTGGGGAAGTTTAAATGGCTTCTGGTTTGGAGCCATTATAAACAATGCTGCAATGAATATTTGAGAACAAATGCTTTTGTCTCTTTTGAACAAGTATTTCTACAAGATCTATTTCTAGAAGCCAAATTCATGGGACAATAGAAATGCCAAATGTGAACTTCAATCCATGCTAAATTCATTTCCCCAAAAGTAGTCTGTTTCCATTGCTGCAACAGCATGCAGCATGTGACAATGCCCATTTCATCCACAGTGGGTATTATTAGCCTTTTTAATCTCTGCACGTTAATGTGTGATTAAGACCTCTAGGTCTTCTACAAAGCAAATCTTACACGTAAAACGCCACAGCAAGTTTCAGCTTGTCCATTCCACTTTGATACAGCCACATAAAAGACCAACCTTGTAGACCAAGGTAAATAAATAACAGACATTTATTGCAGAGCCGTTATTTTATTAGTCCCAAATGTCTTTATCAAACAGCGACCTTAGGAATCTCTGATAGAACCTGGCAGTGCTGTCTCCCCTGCCTCTAAAGTAGAAACTACATAGCTAAGAAATTTCTTGATTTTCTTAACTGATCAGTGGAAGCTGTAAACATATTTTCTATCTCTTTTCAATGATTGGGTTATCATAGTAGGATTCTCACGTGGCAGTCTATCAGAAGGGATATTGTCTATGAAGAGCTGGATTCCAGTTTTCCCTTTATTGCTCGAGGACCTTTTCTCTCCCCCAGCTACCACAAATGCCTTCATGGTTATTACCTACAAACTGACCAAGGTGTGCAGAATTCCCCTCTCATGCAAAGCTTTCCAGTCCTATTCAGTGAGTCTTAATTGATGGGTACCTACCATTAAATATTCTAACAGTTTTACAACAGAAAAAGAAACCTAGAATTGGAGATCACTTTAAAACAGCACACAGTATGAGATGTAAAAGTACCAGGAGTGAGCCTGAGACATATAATGGGTATTTGAAAGAGAAAAATGGCAATAGATCTTGTGTGCACCAGGGAGGCTTTATGACAGAGTTGGCACTCAAAGAAGGGGGCGGAATACTCCTGGTACTTTCAGAGGACCAATGAATAGTTGTTAAATAGGTTAATTTTTTTAAATGAATAAAATGGATGAAACCAAAAAGGGGAACCCTTCCAACCCAAGTCAGGAGCACCATTCTGCCATTCAGAGCAGTATCTCAAGCCCACTGTGAACAGGATGAGTTTATAGCTGCTGTTTGTGGAACTATATCATCTCATTTGAGATTCTTCACCTCCTTCTAAAGCAGATCTTCAAACTGCCTTTTCCCAGATAACAAAATTAGATTCTGAGAAATTTGGTGATTTGTTGAACAACAATCAAAATGGCAGAGTAGATATTTGAAACCAGGACAGTTTCCAAAGACCGGCCCTTCCCACTAGCATGAGACCAGATATGAAAGAATTTACTATACTACTGAATAAGAAACACCATATATATAGAGAGAGAGACAAGAATGTACAGTAAAGTAAGTGAGGATCGCAGAGTCCTTCCCACCATTATCTGCCAGCCATCCCTCCCCACAAGATGGCTGATGTGACTGCTTGCAGGCCATGAAGACCAAATGGTGAGAGTGTCTAACAGTGAACTCTGGGAGCTCAAGTGGCTATGTGGTCATTATTTGAAGGTCATTCTTCAGGCTGCCTGTGAAACCTAAGGACATCCTTGACCTTCCTAGAGTTTCTTCCTCTGAAACAGAAATTGACGATTAGCCAGTTGAGACCTTTTTGTTGCTTTACATTGAAAGTCACACATACTTAAAGTACACACACTGCAATTTTTCTGCTCCCTCAGAGTAAATAAAAACATAGGGCTTTATTTTTTGACCTGTGTGCTGACCTCATGCTATTTAGAACAATGTTATCATGGGGAGGAATCCCAGGTTTGTGTTCAGTGTCTGCTATTCTCTGCATTGCTACAGTCTTATTTTTATATGATTTTTTTGCAGTTAAGAATTTTAGCTAGTAATGTAATATGAGATTCCTAGATGCAGTGAGATAGTATAGAAGCCATTCTAGTGCAAGAAACATCCATAGTGTCATTTAAACTCAACTATGCATGTATAAAACAGCAGAAATATTTATTTGCCATTGATCTTTCCCTTGGCAATATTGTCAATAACAAGAAAACAATAACCACACAAATCTGTCTTTACTAGGCAGTTACAGTGTGCTCAAAACAAGCACTATTTCCCATTGTGTTCACGCCAACCCCATGAGAGATTCCTGTTACTTCCATTGTAGAGGTGAAGAAATAGAGGCTTTGAATGGAACCCACATTCAAATGAAATCATGTTCTGCTGAGTCCAAGCTCATAACTAGAGTTCTGGCCTAACTGGTTGAATGCAGAAGTGTGTACATTCCAGGAGATTTATTGCCTTGTCAGAAAAGTCATGATGCATTTTTGCATAGGAAACAGAAAAATACTGCATGAGTTTTCCAACAGCTCACTATATTGGAAGACAATTTTTCTTGTAAAGTGCATCTTCCAAGCATTGTTCTTCTTTTTTGTAGGCCTCTTCACTGCCTATCTCGGAATCAGCATGACACATGTAATGGCCATGGTGAGTTTGCTGTAGTCTCACTTTATTATCAACATCACTGACAAGATTAAGTTGTATGGAAAACCCTTCTGAAGTCCAACTGGGCAGCATCCAGTGGCAGGATCTATGATTACCATGATTATCACTCCTCTCCCTGCTGCTGGAGCTCTCTGGCCTCTCTCACCTTCCAGCATCACAGTAAACTTTAGTCCAAACTAGTCACCAGCCTTGTTACAAATATTTTGATGTTTGGTTTAGAGAATGAAACTTACATTGTACATTATATTATCAAGTTCATAGTCTAACTCTGAGTGTCAAGAAATTGACTTTATTTTTTTTTTTTTAATTTGCCAGAGGGAATGTGCACTTGCTGGAGAAAGAGGAAAAGCAAAAAAAAAAAAGAAAGTACCCCATGAGGGATGGACATGCCACAATCCCTTCTCCATTTCTCCCCCTTTTTGGGGTTTTGGGCATATGTTCTTCAAGCTGCCAAATCTAGGACTCAAACTGCACAGTCATCCGTGGGTAATCCAGATGCATTGATCACCATGCCACTGGCTGGCCCCAAAAGTTGGATTTAAAGTAGCTTTTACTTAAACAAAAGGTCAGAACTATGTAGCTGTTGAGAAATTAGGAAAGCGAGGAAAAGGATAGTTGGCTAAAGACCCAGATATTGTTGTCATGCCTCTCATCTTTTCTTAAAGCCACATTCAGTCTTCAGTAAGACTCATTCAGATCCATTATTATTATTATTATTATTATTATTATTATTTTAGAGAGTTTTTTGCTATAGGGTCTGTGTGCTCTCTAGAGACACATACAGAGACTGAGACAGAGAGAGTGAGAAATTACACCCCCCTGGGGGGATGGCCATGCCACAGTCCCTTCTCCTCCATTTTCCTCTCAGGATTTTGGGCACTCATACACAAGCATCCAGTATGAGTTTCAAGTCACCAGGTCTAGGACTCAAACCATGGTCAGCCATGTGGGAGTTTAGTGCCTTAACCACTGTGCCACCTGCTGCCCTTCTGGCTGAATTATTTAATGGACAAAATCTTTGCCCTTAAAATGCCTCCTGCCACTAGACATACAAGATAGAAACATACAGAGCTGGCCTCATAGCACAGTGGGTAAGTGTTGCATGGAAGCTGGATCCCACATGGCCAACCAGGGTTTGAGTACCAGCCTACTGGCTTGAAAAACAATGGCCATGTGCATATCCATCCTGATGGGTTGAAGAATTCGAGGAGAAAGGATTTCAGCATACCCAGGCCCTGATTGTGGGGGAGGCTTTTCTCTCTCATACACAGATCCTCTGGCATTTAAAACACACACAATAAGATAGATTTATAACTGATCACCCTAAGGAATAGATGGAAACATTTCAAAGGCTAAATGCCATGAGATCTTAGTCTCCTTGGCCATAGCAGACTCCAGAGCAATACCCCTCGAAGATTCATCCCCCAGGGCTACATGAGAAGAGTGTTACGTATTATGCTTTGTGAAGACTAGCTTTCATTTGAAATCTCAAAGAAGCATGTGGTTTGTCTCTTCTTCCCCAGATTGGCTTGCCAGCTTGTACCTGGCCCTTCTGTTTGGCCACACTACTCTTTCTCTTGCTGACGACCAAAAACTCCAACATCTACAGGATGCCCCTGAGTAAAGTCACTTATCCTGAAGAAAATCGATTGTTCTACCTACAAGCCAAGAAAAGGATGGCTGAAAGCCCTCTGTGAGAGTATCCATGGTCATAAGTCATTCCTGACTAAACTGCTCCAGTTGACTTCCAGGGTCTCTGCAAACTGTTGTATTTTTGTTTTTGTTTTTTTTACTAGTAACAACTTTTATACTAACTCACTCGTGATCTGTTCTTACACCCGTTTTGTATTTTTCTTTTTGGTTCCAGGAATATCCTCAGACATATGAGAGCCACATCCAGCTGATGTGCTCTTGTATGGAAGTTTAAACCCCAGTGGGGGATCGGCGCTAAGACTGTAATGTATTTTATAAAGTAGAAATGCTCCAACAGGAAGAGGAAGTGAAACTGAAGCTAATTATTGATATTTATTGATATTCTTGGTGTTTATTCAGCTAAATGATGATAACAGTATTAAAAATTAAGCTCTATAAACAAACTAAGCCTTATAGAATTTGTTATCAACCTAGAATACTCAAATAAAAGTTTGGTTTTTAAAATTGATGCATGTTACCGGTTACAGCTGTGGTTAGCATCGTGGGGGGGTGCAGGCTTATCTCAGAGCTCATTCCCAGTTCTTTAGCAGAATGGCCTTCAGGCTGTTCCTTGTGACATTCTCTTGAGGGAGATAGTGAGTTCTTTCAAGCAGAGCCACAGGAAGAAAAAAAGGAATTTTGCCAGTCAAAATTATTCTGTATTACCACTTTCTTGGAGAACACAAAGGATTTTTTAGGTAGAGCTTATCATCTTTTTTTATGAGAAAGTATTTAGTTTCAATGAAATAAAAATAAGAGATGTTCCTGGCTTAACTGGTTCCTAGGTATTAAAGAAAAGTTACATATTTATAAAATGTTCAGCATAACAATTTTTACTTTAATCCCTAAATTGATTTTGTAAATGTCACATAGACACATAATCATCAACTTATTTTAATTTTTTATTTTTTTTTACATTCAAGAGCCCATTAAAGTCACTTTTTAAATTCATTTTAATTTATTTAATTCATTTATAAAGACTGGAGGTTAAGGTCAGATGGCTTAGAGGTGTTATTTTAAGCAGTTGTTGAATTTCTTATTTAAAAGAAGGCAAAAAAACTCCTAGCCTGCACATTCACAATATTCTCTCTCAGGAACCAATGGCATCTGAACTACCATAAAGAAATGCAGGGATTCTCCTGTTTTCCTTCTTTTGATTTAAGTCATCTGTTCTATAAAGATCCTGTGATCAAACACATGAAGATGAGGTTGACAGCTGGGCTCGTGACCTTCTACTTCAGTATGTTTCAGTTCAATATTTCAGAAGATTGGAAAGGTGAAACTTTTGAATCCTAAAGACTTCTTCCTCTTGAGTCTGTAGTTTTTAGTGCACAATTTACAGTTTGGCTGAATGGCTAAACAAAAGCAGGAAAGTAAACTACAAATATTTTAGGAAGAAGTTTACTTGTTTTCTTTTCTCAGGAAAACAAACAAGCAAACACTATTCCAACTTGAAACCCTGTGATTAAAACCTTTTGAAACCATGAATTTGGAGTTATCATAGGTTTATGGATATTCCTGGGGAAAAACTAAAATTTTCAGTGTTTGAACTGAAATCCTTTTAGGGGAATTTGTGAAGTAAGAGGTGAGGAAACAAGAAAACAAGGATAACCAAAGATCACCAGGGAAGAAGGATCTGGACCACAGTTGAGTAGCTCAGAATGCTCTAAATTGGTTTTAAGTCAATGCTCAGAATGGAGCTCCGATGTATTAATTATAGTCCCTCTCCCCATTTGCTCACACAGATTTGTAAATAGGAACATTGTAATGCCTTGTATATTGTCTAACTTAAATGGTATTTTCTCAAGCTATTTTTGTTACTAAGTATTATTCTAAAATTAACCTATTGCATTTTTTCTATTGTCTGTGTAAGAAATCCCTCTGTAAGTGTATGAAGGAACTACACTCACACCTCAGATTTGTATGATGTACCTTTTATAGTTACTGTATATATGAACAGTCACATAAGCCTGTATTGCTTATATCTTGATGTGTTATAATTTTTCTTTCTTTCTTCTACTTGGTAATAGAGGCACCCGAAGTGTAATTAAACCAACCCTGTTTGTTTTCAGATTGGCAGGCTCTTTCCCAGTATCCTCTCAACTATCCATTGTTCTCCCACTCAGGGGTGAGAATGAATTACTGAGGGCAGTAACAGGTGTTCAGGGCATGCTCCTAACACTTTGAGATAATCAGATAGGTCCTAGGCATCCTCATCAGGGCTAACCCTGGGCTGGCCTACAAAGGAGGTGATCAGCTTCCCAGCATAAGCCACTTCTCAGAATGTGGATGGGAATGAAGCCATGGCCATGTTCATCTCTGCCTCTGGAAGTACTTCTCTTCCACCTCTTCACCATGGTTAGCACATTTGGAAGAACACATAGTGAGAATGAAAATTTGCTTCAACAAAATTCAATGATGAGTTCCAAAGCAGTCCAATCAGGAAACAAAAGGAGCCACAATGGGATACCCCCACAGAAATGCCTTCTGTCATAACAAAACCTCTCCTACCTACTGTTTCAAGATAATACATTCACCAAAGGGGTCTGGTCATTAATGTTCTTTTCATCTGAGAAAGAAAAGATAGGTTTTGAAGCTCTTATTCTAAAAGTTTCAAACACTGGAGCCAGCAGATGATGTGGTGGTTAAGGCACTGGACTCCTACATGGCCAACTGCAGTTCAAGTTCCAGACCTGACGACTTAAAAATCATGTCAGCACGTGTGTGTTTGTGTGTGTGTGTGTGTGTGTGTGTGTGTGTGTCTGCATGCCCAAAATCCCAGGAGAACAGAGAAGACGGGATTGTGGTATGGCCATCCCCCCTGGGGATGATTTCTTACTTTTCCCCTCACTGCCTGGCTCTCTTTCTCTCCAGCCAGTGCTCTTGCCCTATGGCAAAAACCGAAAGAAAGAAAGAAAGAAAGAAAGAAAGAAAGAAAGAAAGAAAGAAAGAAAGAAAGAAAGAAAGAAAGAAAGAAAGAAAGAAAGAAAGAA